GACAATCACAGAACTAGAAAACTAAGACGATGGCAAGAAGTGAGAAAGAAAGACCAAACTTTGCCATATGGTTTTTCAGGAGAAGAGGAAACAGCTTTTTTTTTTTTTTTTTTTTACCCCTGACACATTGTTCCAGAGAATCTGTAACTAACAAACCAAGCCAGCACATTGCTGGGTTCTGTAGCTCTGTGACTCAGAAGTCACTTTTCTATCCAACATATTAAATGTCAAGTAAAATGTATCCAATAAGAGAGAAGAAATTTCTCCGGGAAGCTTGGCCCTTGAGTTAGTTTCTCTCTTCTGCAAATGAGCCCTGTATTTTGCTGCTGTCTTTTAGGTGGATTGTCAACCTGTAAGAGGTATGACATCTGCCCAAGAGCTGCATAAAAAAAAAAAAGCATAAATCATGAACACCATAGCTTAGTCCTCCATAAATCCTCCCAAAAGAACATTACTCGTGGTAAACATAATAAAAGTCTGTTTAATTTAAGAAAGAAAAAAACACACACAGAAAAAAACACATGCAGATAGAAAACAGAGAAGAGAAAGAAAAAGAGTCACAGTGATATATTTATGCATGGGTAATATACAGAATTTGGAGATTAAGAGCTCTGATGCAATGCTTAAAGAGTCTGTAATATACAAGAATGAACAGGTTCCAGGGTGGTCATAATCAAAAAGAGCAGTATTTATTAATATCTATTCTCTGTCATTTGCCCTCATTTCACAGTGCTGTCAGATTAGAACCCCTGATGCAAAAGAGGACTTAATATTTAGAGCTAATTCTTCCATGCCTCAGGGAAAGAAAGGCATGAGGAAAGAGGGAAAGAATTATATGAGAACTACACCTCACTTCTCTTTTTTATAATAGATTGTTTTCTTTAAGAAGAGCATAAGCTCCGATTAAAGTGGCAATATAATTGCTGAATTTTTGTGCCTCTAACACCTGCGAAGGAAGCTTGGTGACAAGACACACTCAGCAACCCAATTATTTCATGCAGGTTTTCATCCACCCAGAAAACCATCCTCAAAATAGAATGGGGCCAGGCACCGGTGGCTCACGCCTGTAATCCTAGCACTCTGGGAGGCCGAAGCGGGTGGATTGCTCAGAAGTTCGAAACCAGCCTGAGCAAGAGTGAGACCCCCGTCTCTACTATAAATAGAAAGAAATTAATTGGCCAACTAATATATATAGAAATAATTAGCCAGGCATGGTGGCGCATGCCTGTAGTCCCAGCTACTCGGGAAGCTGAGGCAGGAGGATTGCTTGAGCCTAGGAGTTTGAGGTTGCTGTGAGCTAGGCTGACGCCACGGCACTCACTCTAGCCTGGGCAACAGAGTGAGACCCTGTCTCTAAAAAAAAAATAAAAAATAAAAATAGAATGGACCTTTTTCTCCTTTACCAATGGGAGGTGCCCAGGGCAAAGTTACCAAGAACCTAACAATATTGTTGATGACATTCTCAATGAACAAAATTTAAATAAAATAAGATCCAAGGAGTTTAACAAACAACTTCCAAATTTTATTTCAATTACTTAACAGTGCATTCAACTTATATTATACCACCTTATGATGTGAGGCTGAAAAGGAACAAGACTTGTCCCTAGGGAGATGCAGGTTATTGAGCTCTGTTCCCTGAAGTGAGAGGACAGATTAGATAATTGGTCTTTCCAGCTTTAGGGAATATTTTAATTCAAGTGTGAAATCAAGGAAAAATGAAACAAATTCAATTTTCTCACTATCTAGGAATTTGGGGAGGTTAGATGTACATCCTGACAATAGGTAAATAGCTAGGGAGAAGGAAATCCAGTGAAAATTTTTCCTTAGGAGGTGGCTAAAAACTTAATATTTTAAAAACAGCAATAAGCCTACTTACTTCTTTCCTATGTATTTTTAACCAAAGACATTTAGAGTTACCCATAATAGGCTGAAATAATAACATTCTTATATTTTTACATATTGGTGTCTCAGGAGTAAACATTTACTAGGGATCACTATGGGAAACACAAATCCTTCCCATCAAGAACAACAGTGGCTGCTTCTGTGCTTAGATTGAAAAAAAAAAAAAAAAAAAAAAAAAAAAAAAAAAAAACAGTGGCTGGCCTGGCCTGGTGGCTCAGACCTGTAATCCTAGCACTCTAGGAGGCCAAGGCAGGAGGATCCCTCGAGGTCAGGAGTTCAAGACCAGCCTGAGCAAAAGCAAGACTCTGTCTCTACTAAAAATGGAAAGAAATTAGCTGGACAACTAACAATATATAGAAAAATTTAGCAGGGCATGGTTGCACTTGCCTATAATCCCAGCTACTTGGGAGGCTGAGGCAGAGGAATTGCTTAAGCCCAGGAGTTTGAGGTTGCTGTGAGCTAGGCTGATGCCACGGCACTCTAGCCCAGACAAAAGAGCACCACTCTGTCTCAAAACAAAAACAAAAACAAAAAAAAACGAGCTAGGCTGATGCCACGGCACTCTAGCCCAGACAAAAGAGCACCACTCTGTCTCAAAACAAAAACAAAACAACAACAAAAAACAGTGGAGACAGAACATTCAATCTGAACTGGATTATTGGGTCACAACATGTACAAAGCAACTCACAAATCAGACAGCATTTCTGTTGTCACCCCAAACTGGGGAGAGATCAGCATAGAAGAAGGATTGCTGTGGGAAGGTTTCCAGATGATGAACCTTGACCTGAATGTTCAAGGATGGAAAGGGCAGGAGTCATAGGAAGGGGGAAGAGGGGCCTGGCAGGTAAACGAATCAGCAAAGCCAAAGGAATGGAAATAGGTTATAACAAACTACACTTGGCAAATGGCTGAGGCTAAAGAGCTGGGGACAGACTGATGAAAATTAAAGCTACTATTATTGAGTGCTTACAGTATGTCAGGCACTATGCTAAATTTCCTTTTTTTTTCTTCCTAATTTAATTTTAATTAAAGTTAGCCCCAGGGTCCAGACTGGGGTCTCTTTTCTTCGTTAGCCACACTCATTTTCTAGGTGAGCTCATATAGTCTTATGGTTTTAGTGCCACTTGTACACAATGACTCTCAAATCCCAAACTGCTACCTTCTTTCTTATATATTTTTATATAAGCAACCTTGGATGTTTGCTCCAAGCTCCAGATTCACACGTCCAGCTGCCTATTTGACATTTCCACCTGAGTGAGCAAAGAATATCTCAAAACCAAACTCCTGCTTTCCATCCATCCCCCAAACAAAACAACCAAGCAGGAACCAACTGCTCCTCCCTCGTCTACCTTCCAAACATATCCTTCTCACCACCTCCACAACTACCACCCTGTCTAAGCCACCTCCGTCTCCAGCAAGGATCACTGCAGCAGCCTCCCAATGGGATGGGTATGACCAGTGGTCCTCCGAGCCTATGCATTCCAAACCTTGCTATTTGTAGGACAGGCTCCAGTTATCTATACTGTTGTCTCAGTGGAGACAAAGACTTAAAAGTAATTCTTGGACAGGTGACAGCAGAAAGAGCAGACACTGAGAGTGAATCTGAAAGAAGCACAGGGTGGGGTTGAGGGTATCAACGATGGGACATTTAAGGACAGCCACAGAGGAACAAAAGAAGCCCAACTCTTAATATATACCAAGTTGTAGATCAAGTGTCCCTCTACTCAGTTAGCCTTTCTGGACTGAGCAGGCAGAGTTCAAGGCCTCAGTTGCAATACTGGTCACTCAGCTTGTGCTGAGTGCCTCTCCCACAAGCATTTGAACTAATTTTGTGCCTCCAGCACCTGGTGCAACATAGGGTACTTGGTAAGCCCTTGGCAAAACTGTGCTGAATGCATAACATGATATCAGGGAAAGCGCATTAGAAGCATGGGGAAGGAGTGGCTGCTTTCTTCTGGAAGAGCTAATTAAGACTTCACATAGGAGACGAGGTTTCAGAGATAGAAACAAATATTTAAGTTATCCAGGAAGATAACACTGATGGCCTGGAGAGGAACAGCAGTGGCATGGAAGGACAGAGTGCAAGGCCCTAAGCCTTGGGCAGTGGAGGAAGTTGTGGGGTGTGACACTGGGAAGGAAGCTACACAGTCAGAGGAAGAGCTTTTCTCCCTGCCCAAGAGAGGTGGGTGTCCAAAAGAAATGAGGGAAAGCCAGGCAACAGAAGGAAGTGCTTCGCAGGATGTGGATGGGGTTGGGAGGAGTGACAGGTACAAGCACGATGCCAGCTTGTAACTGTAGTCCTTAATCTGTTCATTCCCAAGTACCATGTAAATTACCGAGATCCAAAAAGAAGGGTAGGAGGCCTGAGGCTTACCAATCAGAGGCTAAAACGGACTGCTCAATGAGGCATGAGCCAAGAAGTTAATGAGGAAGTGCAACACTGCGGAGTGATGTTAAGACAAAGCCAGGTTATTACGTGGGTTTTCGAGGATCCAATTAACCTCCCTTTAAGTGGCTCTGGGGTCTGGACTTCTCACCCTGCACCACCAGCCTTCCTGCCAACCCCAGCAGTGGGATTCAAGGGAAATTCGGCTAGAGGGTGGATCTTCCCCGTGATGTGGGGAGTGGACAAGCCACTCACAGTGGATTCCCAGCCAGCTTCGTCCTGGGCTCTAGGGGAAAACTGGGAGAAGCGCAGCACGTGAATGGCAACTACAGCTCCCTTCTTTCCCTGTCCTTGTCCATCACTTTCCCTGCCTATTGCTCAAGCCGGGCCCTCGCTGAAGTGTACGCTCCGTGAGAGCAGGGCATCGTCCTTATTGCTGGATGGCCAGAACCTAGGAGGGCGCCTGGCACCTAGTGGACGCTCGGCCAGTATTAGTTGAATACTGAATGGACTCTGCTCGGTCCCACTTCACTCTCTCTGAGCTTGGAAGGATGCGACCCGTGGAGCCCCCTTAGAGAGCACGGGGTTAGGAAGAAGCCAAAGACTTTGGAGGGCCCAGCGGGGTGGCCTGGACCCGGCGCGGAGGCCCCCGCTGCGCGGTCGGGGAGGGGATTCCGGCCCGAGGCCCGAGACTGCACGGTTCGCAACTGACCTTCCGGCGGGGGCGCCCGCGCGGGGCGCAGCAGCTCGGCTCCGGCGTCCCGCTCCCGCCGCCCCCCGGCGGCGCTCGGCGCGCGCTGCGCACGTAGGTCACCTGCCTCCTGGCGCCGCGCGGCGGCGCGCGCGCAGGTGCGGCCGGGCGGCCCGAAGGCGGGCCCGGCGGGCGCTGCGGGCGGGTCGGCCGGGCGGGGCACAGCTCCGCGCAGAGCGCGGCCGAGCAGCAGCGCGGCGCCAGCAGACCCCGGCGCAGCCCGCACCCTCGGCGGTGTTCCGGGCCATGGCGGGGGCCGCGCCCTGGGGACAGGCTCGGGGTCCCGCGGGCGGCGCCCGGCCGGCTACAGGGCTGTGGCCCCGGGAGCCCGAGCTGCCAACTGTGGGAACTCCCCCGCGGGCCGGGGCGCGGGCTCGGACCCGCCTCCCCTCCTCCCCACCGAGGAAGCCTCGGCGTAACCTTATCCCGCCCAGCCGAGCGCGCCCTGCCGCTGGAAGGGGCGAGGGGCGGCGGGCCAGGCGCGGCCCGGGGCTGCGCGCCCACCCCGGCCGGACACGCGGGCGGCCGGCCGAGCAGGGCTCTCTGAAGAGGCGACCTCCAGCCCGCCGCCAAAGGCTAGCGGAGCTGAAAGAGACAAGGCCAGAAAAAGCGCATTCCTCATGGGATCCTGAGCCGCAACTTCATTTTCTGGTATTAGTATTGTTGGAGAAACACAGGATGAGCATAGGTGAGCTGCCAGGTGTGGCTACCATCAACAGTCAAGCAGTTTGTGCCATTAAACACAATATAAAAATAAATCTCACTTATGCTCCGGTTTACAACTGCTCCCTCTCAAGAAAGAAAGGGGGGCAGGGGACGAATTGAGCTCAATGCAGAATAATCAAATTAGAGTTATTCCATTTCTAAATTCTGCCTGAAGCCAATTCGTGCTTTCTCTCCATGTTACGAAATGTGTGGGGGTGAAGGAGGAGAGGGAAAAAGCCAGCTAAGACATCTGACAGCAGGGAGAGAGAACAGAAGTTACCATGGCATGATGTAAATCAAATTAATTTAGCTCCAAACACACACCTCACTGCTGTCTTGCAGAGATACAGAGGGACAAATTTATCTTTCGGCAAAATGCTCCCCAGCTGGTATTTCCATCACCACCTTGACCTTAATTAATCAGACTGAAGGCTCACAGCCTGAAGTCCAGTGTTGGATGTGCCATTTTCAATTGTTAGTAGAATTCTTTCCCACAACCCATTTGGTGTGAATTTGGGCTTTAGGTTTGGGGTTCTTTTTTAACTGTGATCACATTTTCCCCTTGCTTTAACCCTTACATTTTCCATATTTCTGTGTGAGACTGCTCCTGCTTGCCTATCTTCTTTTTCTGCTTAGCCTACAGCGTGGTCAACAGAGATCAAATATGGAGGGAGCTTCATCCCCTTCCCTTTTGAATTTCAGGAATTTTCCATAGGGAACCCTCGTCTCTAAAATCCTCTTTTCTTCTTGGCTTAAAAAAAGATCCAATTTATTCTTTGTCACTGAACCAAGCACTCAGGCTATTTCTCTACCCAATCTAGTCCATTGCCTGGCCACACCAGGTCCTCAGGCTCCTGTATGTTTCAGTATGATTGACTTTTGTTGTTTTCTTAGATGCAGCCTGGGGGCTATTGCAGATGGGCTCTGTTATAAGGAATCCAAACAAGTACAGTTTTCCTCACGCAAACTGTGAGAGACAGCAGCACATCCTGTGACCGTTTACTTGAACTGTGTTTGAATCAGGCCCCCACCATTCAGGCGCCGTGAAACTTAGGACAAAGAACTTAAGCTCTCTGAGCTTCAGTTTTCCTGTGCATAAACAGACCCATATAGGTGGTTTGTCTGGGAAGTACCCAGCCATGTAATATGAAAAATAGAGACATTTATTGAAGAAGATACATAAAACATAGTACACAGGACAATGACGCCTCAGTCCCTTTTAAAGTAGGCACATTGGGACCTCACACAGTTCTCCCAGTGTCTCTTAACCTAATCCGTACACATTCAATATTCTCAGCTGTTCTGCTTGCTGCAGGCCTTCCAAAACGTAGATCACTTTCAACAGATTCTCAACCATCTTTGGAGCATTTGTGCCACACTTTTATTTGCGCTGCACTCATTGCATCGTCCCTGAAAGCCACCTGAATCATCCAAATAGGTTCCTTGGAGGAATGTTCAAGAGTAACGCAAAATGTGATGCAGATTCGTTGCTCTACTCACTCAGTCATTTTGAATACGATGGCCACACAGCACACATGCTCAATCAACCGGGTCTAGCACCCCACTGACTAATATAGTGAAGTAGTCATTGTTCACACGTGGACATCCCAGTCCACTCACCTTGGCTGCCAGGTTACGTTGAAGTCGCTCAAACTGTTCTCATTATATTAACATTGGCTGGATACTTTCCAGACAGACCTCATATATAGTAGGATTACAAATATTGCATAAAATACGATGTTTGGTGGCTAAATAATACCTGCTTCACAGGAGATGCTCAATTAATAGTGATTATTTTTGTTATTTACCATTAAAGAAAATCCTGGACGTTGTCATGAAAATCAAAAAGTAAACATTGATTCTGAGGTAGGCGTGCATACAAAAGTATAAGGAGATGATAAATATCTTACACAGTATTCTCTGGAATTAGTAGTACCCAACAATTCCAGGAAAACACTGTTAAAATTCAAGAAATGAACTCTATTACGTTGTAAAATTATGTAATGCTATTTAAGATGCAATTTGTATGATGCTTGATAAACCTGGATCAGTAATGTCTGATGTAGACTTTGCTAAAGGCTTTATTTTCTGTGCAGTCAGCACAGTGCCACTAACTAATCTTCTAAAGATCATGATACCATGAATGTATACATTCTGCTCATCTGTTGAGTTTCTCTCCAGGGAAAAAACATGAGGAGTATCCTCATTATCAAAATGGGAACATTCACTAAGACTCTGGACTGGGAGTGGAGGATGAGGCAGGGGGTGCATATAGAACAGTGTAGCTCTTGAAGAGAATGGGCAAGATGACCTCATATTTTCCCTTAACTCATTTCTATGGTTCTCTAATAAAATGTTTCCATTATGGGGGAAAAAAAATCCAAATTCAATGCGATATTTAATTAAGTACCATTTTCCCTTTTCTTTTGCAACTATGTCTATGTGTTTATTACTAATAAAAAGGAACTTTTCATATGCATTGAATATCACTAATTTTCTAGGAAGAAATCTCCTGTTTTTAACTTCCACTCAATGTTTTCCTGTGTCTCGGACAATAATGAATAATAACATGGGTCAGTTGGTGGGCTGGAGAGGCAAGTCTTACTGATCACTGCTGCAGCTGACAAGCAATCTTTCATTCATGACCTTTGCTCTTCTCATAGAGTTGAATGTGTCTTGGTCATTTCTGGATATGTTTCAAAATGCAAATAATCATTAACCGCTGTGTCATAGGTTGGTTAATTAAACGAGCAGGTCAGGAAACCACAATAGCAGCTTTCATCAGATCACAAATTACATACTCCTTGAGCGTTCAGCCAGGAAAATGAGTGAAAAATGGGACATTTTTACTGCTAATCTCCTAGACAACATGCATTTCAACTTGCATACATGCTGTAGCGCAGTGGTCCTCAGCCAGGGGTGATTTTACCTTCCAGGGGACATTTGGCAATGTCTGAAAACATTTTTGGCTGTTAGACTTGGTGGGTATGGGGAGGATGCTACTGGCATCTAACAGGTAGAGACAAGGGATGCTACTAGGCATCCTTCAGTACAAAGGATAGCCTTCCACACAAAGAATTGTCCAGCACAAAATGTGAGGAGCTGAAGTTGAGAAACCCTGTTGTAAGGATGGATGCTTATGTGGCAGATTTTCATTACAGACTGCCCAAAGAGGAAACAGAGCTGACCAGGAAGGATCCTTACATCCATCAAGTGGTTATTTCTTTCTCACAATGTAGAATACCCAGCCCAAATTAATCAAATTTACAAGAGGAATGAAGCTAAAATGTCCAGCCTCAATATCTTCCCCCATCCCCTCATCTTTTCTCTGTGTAATGCATGTTCATTGTGGAAAATACACATAAGCAAAAGAAGAAATCAACAATCATTCACAACATAACAATTCAGAGATAGCTATCCCATCAGACTTTTTTCCCTACAGATATATGTAGTTTATAAAAATGAAATCATATTGTACATATTTCTGCACAGTCTGCATTTGTAACGTAATGTGTTGTATAGTTTACACATTAACTAATATGATGTCTGGAATTTGCTTACCAAGAACCCAGTGGGGAGGTGGGACATAAATGGGGGCATAAATGAAGCAAGAGTGGCTGTGAGTTGATCACTGTTGCAGCTGGATGATGGGCTCACAGCTCTCTGTCATTGAGAATGTTTGAAGTTTTCCATTATAAAAATATCCTTGAACAGTACCCTCTTGATTTACAACATGTACCGTAATTTAACCATTCTTCCACTGTGAAACAATTAGATCATTTCCAAGTTCTTATTTTTATAAACAACGCTGTGATGGGCATCTTTAATCCAATGGCACATATGTGGAGTGTGAGAGAAAGAAAAAATCCAAGAATGATTCCAAAGTGTTTCCTGAGTAACTGGAAGCATGAAGTTGCCAGGAACTGAGAAGGAAAAGACTCAAGTGTAGTTTGGAGTAGAAAATCAAGGGTCTGATTTTGGTAGTCATGTTGCGTTTGGGAAGCCCATTACACATGCAAGTGGACATGTGGAGGAGGCCATTGGCTGGAATTCAAGGGAATGGTGAGGACTGGAAATGTAAATTTGAGTCATCAGTGTACAGATGTGAAGTATTTGAAGGCTTAGCTCTGGGGTCCCCAATTTAAAGTCAGGAAGATGAGGAGGATCCACCAGAGGGTACTGAGATAAATAAGCAGGTAGGTAATAGAATGTAGAATCCCAGAAGCCAAATGAAGAAAGTATTTCTAGAAGAAAGAGACTGAGAGGTCTAATAAGATGTGGACTAAAAACTGCCCGTGACATTTGGTAACACGATGCCTTGTTTATCATCTGTCTTCCCCAACTAGAATGTAAGCTCCATGAGGTCAGGGACTTTATTTACTTTAATTATTGCTCTAATCCTGGTGCTTAGAACAGTACCTGGCATGTATTAATATTAATAGTATGTGCTTACTAAATAATTGTTGAATTAAAGAGTGAAGAATGAATCAAGTCTGTGTGTATTTATAATTATTTTATCACATTAAATTTAATTCTTAAGAGTAGAATGCTAGGTTAAGTCAAAATTATAGGTGTTTTGATACAAACTGCTATTATTAATTTTTAAATCCACCAAAAAGGCCCTATTAATCCTATTTAAAGTCCATCAAATATTCCTTTGTTATCATTGGAAAACCTCAAAGGATAGCCTTGAGACATCTCTGAACAGAAGGATGAACTAAGAGAAGTTTATTTCTAGTTCCCTTCTATTTCTTCCATCACCACACTTGAACTCACTCTTCAACTCCCCTCTAACAGCAATCCCAAGCCACACCCCAGGTGGGATTTGTGTTTACTGGACTGTCGTTTAGTTTCCTCCTCCCCACCCTAAAGATGTAGCTAAATATTAAAGATACTAGTTCCACATGACAATAGTCCCATCAGAAGCATCTATGTTAAAAGGACTCATGATGGAAGCTCTCAAGACCTAAAAGAACAACGTTTTAATAGAAAGACGGACACTGGAATTGCTATTTGAGGCTGGGAGTCCTGCCTGAAATCACACCACTGCATATTCCACAACCGAATATAGCTGACTCGGGGGCAGTCACACGGAAAATGCCTAGGGAATGTCTCAACGGCCTGGCCTGCTTGGGAGAGAGAGCATGAGCCTTTCCTGCCTCTTCTGAATCCCCCTCACACTGTGTTCTCCCACTCTTTTGCTAACATCTGTGGACTTGCTTTAGCCTTCCTCTGCCTGCGATGTCTCTCAGGAATAGGGCTGGGGGTCCCACTTGCCTCTGAACTGCCAGCAGTGCCTCGCATGGGATGGGCCTCAATCATGTCTCTGGAATTGTTGGAAAAACAACAAGCATCACACCCCAATTCTGCTGAGGTCAGACCCAAGCTACCACAGTTCTCCCAGCAGACCACGTTGTCATCCACCCTAACCTAAGAAGAATCACAGTCAACCTCTGTTGGCTGGCTCACAGATAATCCCTCCCACCTGGTACCTTTTCCCCTGAAGGAACTTGGGCAGAATCAGGGAATGCATCACACAAGCCACTGGGGGAGAAATACACGCAAGGTCAAAGATGCTGGTGTGGGAAGGTCAGTGCAGGCACAGGGTGGAGACTGCTGGGGCTGGTGGCTCTGAAGTAAACCCTAGGTCCCAACGCCCCTGGGCAGGAAGTCCTGACAAAAAGATGTAACACACACATAGACGCACATACACGTGCACAAACACACACACTTTCTTGGTTGTGTTCTGAAAACACATCTGAGGAATTATTAGAAAGGTTTATTTACAGACATAAGCTCCCACAATGAGACATTCCTGGATTTTATGACAACAAAGGGGCTTAGGTTAAGAATTATCAAAACATTGCCTTTTTCATAGGACCACCTATAGAGCCTTTCCTCTCTTGCACCTCGCGATTCATCTTATCATTATGACACATGCCAGAAATAATCTCCCAGCTACAGATCACTTTGAAGTCAAAAACATTCCTGGCTGAAACTTTCCCAAAGTCAAGGGCTTAAAAAAACCTTTTAAGGTCAGAAAAGATCACCAGGGAACTGACAGGATACAGTGAGGCCCAGCATGCCCAAGGCGAAAATCTCAGGGCTCTGTCATTTCCACTCGGCTTGTGAATATATTAAAAATCCTGAGGTCAAAAGCCATTTTACTTTCTCATCACATTACTGCTGTAGCCCTAGGCAAAACCCTAAGAACTATTTTATTTTCAGATCCTAATATAGAGGCTGTGAAACTCAAGTGTACATAAGAATCACCCTGGGGAGCTGTTCAAATGTGGTTTGAAAGCCCCACCTCCAGAGAGTTTTCAGGCAGAGGTGAGTCCCCCAAATCTTTATTTTAACAAGCTTCAGGCGGTCCACAATCAAACTTTTAGAAACCCTGGCACAGTGCTTCCCACCGTGGTAATGGTTGAGGGTGGGGAGTGGAATGTAGGAAGCAGTTGTTACAGGGTATCCTTGTATCCATGGGTGCAAATGTTCTCCCCCAATCCTTTAAGAACAGCTGCTAGCAAAATTTCAGGCATTAACAAGGAATCTTCATATTCAATAGTTCAGGAAGTCCCTTGGCCTCCTGTTCTACCCAACCATTCTGTTCTACCCAACACCACACAGGGAGGTGAAGGGAGTACCAAAGTCCTCCCTCCCTCCTTCCCTCCCTCTTTCCCTTCCCTTCCTTCCCTTCCTTCCCTTCCTTCCCTTCCTTCCCTTCCTTCCCTTCCTTCCCTTTCCTTCCCTTCCCTTCCCTTCCCTTCCCTTCCCTTCCCTTCCCTTCCCTTCCCTTCCCTTCCCTTCCCTTCCCCTTCCTTCCTTCCTTCCTTCCTTCCTTCCTTCCTTCCTTCCTTCCTTCCTTCCTTCCTGTTTGTGCTGAGAATTTCTCACTGCCGTGGAATGAAAGGAAGGAGTTGTAGTTACCCATAGGAATTGTATGCAGCAAGAGCCTGCTCCTTGATCGCCCTTCAGGAGGCAGTAGCACCTAGAACTCTAGAGTGGTCTGACTGGGATGCAATGCCCTTCAGCTCACAAGTTACCTTACTCCCTGTGCCTCAGTTCCCTCATCTGTAAAATGGGCATAATAATAGTAACTTCCTCATAGAGTATTGAGATATTGTTGTCATGGTTAAATGTGTTACTAATATATTTAAAGCACTTAGAGTAGTGTGCCTGGCACGAAGTGTCATCATGTGTAATTTGTTATTGTTGTTCACTATAAAATCAGAGAGGACATTTGTTTTGTACCAGTTTATGTTCCTCTTTCTCTTGCTTCAGGTTGAATTGTTGGGCACATGGGCTTACTGGGTCTCGACTCTACTGAAATATTAATAAGAGGAGAAATGAAGCTGGGTGTGGTAGCACGCCTATAAATCCCAGCTATGAGAGAAGATTGCTTGAGCCCAGGAATTCAAGGCCAGCCTGGACAGCATAGTGAGACCCTTTTGCTCTAAGAAAAAAAAAAAAAAGAAGAAGAAATGAAAACCAGAGCTATTCTGTTGGCAATACTACCAAGACTCTACTTCTTAGAGTCAACACATGGCAGGCAATGTCTCACTAGGTTTCTATTATTTCTGGGAAAGCACATTGATCCAATTTAACTAGCAGATCCTTTCCTTCCCGCTTCGACCGGCACTAGTCTAAAGCAGTTCTTTTCGTCCTTTTATTTCTGATTGCTGTGGGTTTTTAGTGCCATACAACCACACCGCTTTTCTCTCCTTTACCTTTCTCATCCTGTTTTCTGTGCTCACTTCCCCCTTGTTTCCCTTTAAAGCCGGATCTTCATACTGCCCCAGCTCCATCACCTCTCATGCCTTTTCACCTGCCCCTTGGAATAGCCTGGGCGCTGATCACTGGACTATGAGTGTGCACCGTTAGGATCAGATGCAGGGCCAGTCGCAGTGCTCACGTGGCCCCACCCCTCCGTCAGGAATGCGCCTAGTGCTAAAGACAGCCCAGCTCGTCTCCGAGCTGCTTCCTCAGAGAGGGGGCAGAAGGCCTGAGCAGCCCTCTCCTCCCTCCTGCCCTGCCAACTTGGATGGTTGCTCAGAGAGGGAGACAAATGCTGTCTGTGCAAGAATGTTGCCGTTGCTAGGAGAGAAAGAAGGAAAAAAAAAATAGTTCCCTGTCACAAAGGGGGGCCAGGAGAAAAGCCGCCCTGAGCTGGACGACAAAGAAAAGTGGGGAGGAATCTCCGTGTCTCGCTGATGTTGCTGGTGTGTGCACGTTAGCTGCTTCAACCACGGGGCATGAGATCACTGGCTAGGTTTTTAATAGTAGCAGTCCTTATTTTAATGTCTTTGTGGGTTTTTAATTCTGCCTTAAGGTGGGGAAATTGTATGTAAAAATCAGGAAACAAATTCCCATTATTGCCATCACTGTGTCCCAACCGGGTATACCAAAGCAAGGAACCGCGTCTGCGGTGATAGTTTACTAGACTATGTCCCACGGCAGCTGCAGCTGTGGAGGGTGAATAATTCATTTTTGCCTCCTTGCTGGTAAATCTTCTCTGGCATGGAGAGGAGCTCAGTAAAATGTACGCAACAGAGGATTTCGAGAAACCTGCAGTGCTGGACTTGTATATATGGACCCAACCTCCGAGTGCCCCCACGCGCTGTACTGCAGCTCCCACTGTGCTGTCCTGCCACTGGACCTTTGCTCTTGTCATTCCCCCTGCCTGAAAAGAGCACTACAGCCCTGTCCTGGAGATGGGACAGCTATCCATGATGGTTTGGAAATAGGCTGAGGAGTTTGAATTTTATTAAAAGAGCAATGGGGAGTCATTGATGGTTTTGAGCAGAAGACATTGGCATGAGTAAGACCTTCACAGGCCCTAAAAATGCAGGCTATGACACTCCCACAGCCCTCACCTTATATTCTCCAAAGTAAAATGGTGCCAAAACTGTAAAACACAAAACATCAGATATGTTGACATTGAAAAAGATTGATTTCAGATCTTCCAAATGCAAAACAAGAATACTTTTCCAGGCCTTTCTCTACTTCTTCTCCCAAGACTGAAATAGGTCTCTTTCTTTGCTGTAGAATGTTCTTCCAGTAATCTATAGAATTTTATAAGGTTTGAACGCAGAAATTTAACAAAATAAAATGGTCATTGCCCAGCTGTGCATTTTCTTCACACAGAGTTAGATAACAATGTATTAATAGTTAATTATTTCAGAATAAATTCTCTCACCTTTTGCTGCCACCTCACAGAGTGCACCAAGAATAGCCTCATGGCAATATTACAGTACACCTGAAGTGTCTTTCTTCAAGTCGCTAAAAGCTACACTGATGAAATGTTAGAGGAATCTTGATTTTGTATATTTAGTACCTTAGATTATAGCCTTCCTAAGTTTAGTGGACAATAATGAAAATTGTTTGCAAGCCACATCATCATAGTCCAGCATTCAATTTCCGCAAAGGGGGAAATCTGGTGGCCATTGGGCACAATATATGACCAGCTAAATACTTCATCTTGCCTAATTCTGGTTTAACATCAAAAGGGTATTGACTTCACAAAAGGCAGCCAGCCCTAAGCTTTTTTAACAATCTAATTAAACGTGAAAAGGAGATAACATGAAGCTTTCATTGATAAGAAATAAATATCGAAACTAAATCCATAGCCTGTCACAATCAAATCTCTTTGAAACACAGGAACCTTGTTTAACACAAAGGTTTTCATCTTGTTAACCACCATGCTCTGATGAAACACAACTCTTTCCATGCAGTTTGCCTCGATCCCCATGTTAAACAAAGGGGAGACGTTGCATTATCTTTCAGGCTCTAGTAACCCAGAATAAATTGGCTGTATTTTTCTATTATTCACCACCAGTGTTAAAAATTAGGTCTTTGTTACTGGCAAGGGTAAAACTTAGCTGGGCAGATCAATAGAATTATTTCTCTCCTCAGACAATAGGAGGTAGGAAGGTAATAACTAGCAATGACTTTTAAAAAAATATTCTGCCTGTCATTAGCAGTTCATGTTCCAGGAAAGGCTTTTTGAGTTGCTGAACAAAAGACCGCTCCTAAGGTTCAACAGCTTCATGTATCAGAGAAATTTCTTGCAACTCTGAAACCTCTCTAAATGCCTAGCAAAAAAGAAAGAAAGAAAAAGAAGCATATTCTATGCACAATCCACTCTCCAAACCATAGGAAAGCCTTCATAATTAACGCTCTTACCAAGCATTAGTGGTCAATGCTAAGCCCTGCATTACTATATTGAAGACCATCAATAACCACGAATTAGAAAGGAGAAGGTACAGACTAAACAAAATGCTTCTGCAATAAGAATAACAGTTTTGCTCTCAGAAGATAGACTTTTCTGACTAACTTTACACTTTGGCCCCACATGGTTTCTCTGGAAAATACTTGTCATGTAATTTTATGATCTGTTAAAAAAAAGTGTAAGAATATTCCTTCTTACCTACCTTACAAGAACGTTGGAAAGATTAAAATTAGATAGTTGTGAAAGTGTTTCTAATTCTCCCAGGAAAGACTGAAGAAATGCTTTGTGGATAAACTTCTCTGCTGCAGCCTGTAAGTAGTCATAATGCCTCTGTCTCAGCCTTCTCCCATGAACAGCCAGCATTGTGCTGACTCTATTCCCTTGTCTCTGAATAGCTCTTTAAAATCGTTCCACCAGGAGGGGATGGCTGAAAGCATACCTGACGGGTACAATGTACACTATCTGGGTGATGAACACACTTATAACTTAGACACAAGCAGTATAAAAGCAATCCATGTAACCAAAATATTTGTACCCCTATAATATTCTGAAATTTTAAAAAGATCATTCCACCCATAGCCCCAAAGTATTTAATTCATGACTGACAAAAAGAAAAAACATGCTTCATTCCTCCAAATTCTTCCCAGATTAGCCAGAAAAGAAATCCCAGAAGTCCTGCCTTGTCTAGGAGTGAAATGATTCCCTGTCACCCCCTCACTTCCTCTAAACACATTTTTCTTTGTCTCCTTCGAAATATAAGAACTAGCGAATGCATTACCCACTGTTCATACATCCTATTCACATCTGCGCATGTCAGTATTTTCTACTCTTTCACTTAAGCCCCCTTTTTTTTTTTCTGAGATAGAGTCTGGCTTTGTTGCCCAGGTTAGAGTGAGTGCCGTGGCATCAGCCTAGCTCACAGCAACCTCAAACTCCTGGGCTCAAGCGATCCTCCTGCCTCAGCCTCCCGAGTAGCTGGGACTACAGGTGTGCACCACCATGTCCGGCTAATTTTGTCTATATATATTAGTTGGCCAATTAATTTCTTTCTATTTATAGTAGAGACGGGTCTCTATCTTGCTCAGGCTGGTTTCAAACTCCTGACCTTGAGCAATCCGCCCCCCTCAGCCTCCCAGAGTGCTAGGATTACAGGCGTGAGCCACAGCCCTGGCCTAACTTAAGCCTTAATGGGCACAGTCACAGTCACCCTCAGCAAAACACATCTTCATAAACCTCTGTGCTCAGCGCACCACCACCCTCAACAAAAACTCTGCCAACTCCAGCAGAGACCCAGTGTATGTTGGTTTCCCAAACATTTCCACCTTTTACCCCAATAACCCTCCCAATCCGAATTCTAAGTTATGAACACTAACCCCCGGCTGAGACCTGAAACACACCCACATTAAGTTGTAAATCACTAGAGTCTTCTTAAAGACCTTTGCCTTCCCAAACACTTTTGCTTCATATGAGTCTCCTGTGGACTCTGATATGCCTTTCCTCTCCATCCTTCGCGTACAACAGGTCTTCAGAAAGTTCATGAAAATGGGTATTATGAAAAGAGCTCTGCATGACTTTCAAAAATTTCTTCCATCAAACTAAACCCATACTAACTTGTTGTAATATGTCTGAATAGGATCTAATTTGAGGCAGTAAGAATGATAAGATAACAGTTTGAAAAGAGCCCCTATCAGACTAGGAATTCGTCTAAAATTGAGGCAAGAACAAGCATCAAGTTGATGGCTCAGCTTGGGTGGAAGAATGGTGAAATCACTGATGCTTTATGGAAAGTTCATGGGAACAATGCCCCAAAGAAATCAGCAGTTTACAAATGGATAACTTGTTTTAAGAAGGGACTAGACAATGTTGAAAATGAAGCCTGCAGTGGGAGACAATCCACATTAATTTTCGAGGAAAAACTTAATCTTGTTTGTGCCCTAATTGAAAAGGATGGACAATTAACAGCAGAAACAGTAGCCAGCACCACAGACATCTCAATTGGTTAAGCTTACACAATTCTGACTGAAAAATTAAAGTCAAGCAAACTTCTCACTTGATGGGTGCCAAAGCTGTTGTGCCCGCATCAGGTGCAGACAAGAGCAGAGCTTTCAGTGGAAATTTTAATCAGGTGGGATCAAGATCCTGAGGCATTTCTTGAAAGAACTGCAAGAGGAGATGAAACTTGGCTTTACCAGTGAGATCCTGAAGACAAGGGACAGTCAAAGCAACGGCCACCAGGAGGTGGAAGTGGTCCAGACAAAGCAAAGCGAACCAGTCAGGGCAAAGGTCACGGCCACAGTTTTGGGGGATGCTCAAGGCATTTTGCTTGTTGACTTTCTGGAGAGCCAAAGAACAATAACATCTGCTTATGATGAGAGTTCTTTTGAGAAGACTCAAAAGTCAAATTTTTAGCAGAAAAGTACCCAGGAAAACCTCACTGGAGAGCCCTCTGCACCATGACAACGTTCCTGCTCATCCCTCTCATCAAAGAAAATTTTGAGAGAATTTTGATGGGAAATCATTAGGCATCCACATTTCAGTCCTGATTTGGCCCCTTCTGACTTTTTTTTTGTTTCCTAA